AGACGTGCGTCGCCGTGGAGAGGAGGAAGAGGCACCAGATAAGGCTAAACGGAGAGAAAACGTTTTTGTCAGCCAAAAAAGCTAAACAAAAATAAACAAAAGCGAACTTCTTACAAAGGCCTCTCCGAAACGAGCGGAATGATCAGCAGACTAAAGGCCAGAGCCGCCAGGTTGACCATCCGCTCCTGGCTGTTGTCTTTGGCGCTGACGTCGGCGAGGTTGTTGCTTTTGGCTTGCTAGTGCCATTTAGAAATCGAAACTCATTAGCCTTTGAACCAAAACAAAAGCCTTTTCCGTTCTACTCACATGTTGCGTCAGAGCGGCCCGGGTTGCACCGCCGGCAATGCCGACCAGAGATCGAAGGACACCGGAAAAACATTGCACCAGGGTGAAGTAGAGGCCGGAAAGGGCAGGGCTGAGCAGGTCCACGGCGATTGCGCAGTCGTTGAGGAGGTCGGCGAAGAGGCGCCACCGTTTGCAGTAGGAGTCCATCTTGGTGCACTGGACGGTGGCGAAGACCAGCGAGCCGATGATCGAGGTGCCGNGAAGCCAGGTGACTGTGGCGGCCAAGACAGTGGCACTTCCGTCGCCGACGCCCACACCTAAGGGGAAAAGAATGTTAGTAAAGATTTTGAAGGTTTTTAGGCTCTTCTAAACTATTACCTTTAAAGATGGCCGCCGTCGCCAGGTTGTTCATGATGCTGCTGGCGAAGGCCTGCACCGAGTCCCAGAGCTGGTACTCGAGGTAGTCATCGCTGACGCTGTGCGGGTAGCCGCTGGGGAGGAATGCTTTCTATTTGGAAGGGAAAGGGATAATAAGTTGACATGTCAGAAAATGATATCAAAACCAGAATAATTCAAGCACTCCTACCTTGAACACAAACAGAATTCGGAGGTACAGCAGCTTCAGAGAAAATTTTTTCATTTTTGAACTGAGGAGATGATGATGATTATAATGCTGATATTGAGATCAGATAAAGTGCTTGAGAAGATCTTCTAAATGACTAGAACGACCGGCGACAGGTGGTCTGAAGATGTCTTTGCCGGTGGAGTTTCTGTCAACCACCAGCTGGTGTTTACAAACGAAGATGAGCAAGTGAAACAGGACAACTCCTCGAAAAGACATCTCATCAAAATTAAAAAGTGAGGTTTTTTCAAAAAACAAAAAACAGAGCTAGGCGTGGCAGCTTTTTGCTATGACTTTTTAATAAAAAAAAGAGATTGGCGTAAAAATTAAAATTGAAAAAATACAGATAATAAGTTGATGATAAGATAAGATTGGGATATCCTAATCAATGGTGGGTATGATGTGGGTATTAGAATTGCAAGGGTTGTTCTTCTTCTTCTTGACATTTAATGATGATAATGGACAACCGGAAGTTAACTTCTGTTTCTTTCATGTTATAATGATAATAAGAAAACGCACTTTGATATTAACAAACAAAAAGGGGGATAGAAAGTGGGATGGACAAAAGAATGTTGTTGCACAGTGTTAAGAAAGAAGGAGGAGAAAATATAAAATAAGCAAGCGAAGCAGAGATTGATGATAAAGTTGGTTAAATTGATCCATCTTTAAAGTTCTTGTTGTTGCTGTTGTTGTTCTATTGCAATGGATATTGCAATGGGTTGATGTGAAAAGGTGTGTGTGTGTGTGTGTGCTAGATTTGTGTGGTAGATAGCTTGAGGGAGAAAGAGAAGGGTGGTCTGAAAAAAATTTGGTCGATATGATGAGGAGGATGTTGTTGATGATGATGGTATGAATTTCCTGTTTCCCTCTGTTTAGTAGTACGTCTCCATCTCGACCCAGCCGCCGGGGTTGCGACGAATGATGTACCGACGGACCTCGTCGTAGATGAAGATGAGGATGCTGAAGGGAATACCGACTAGCCACCAGTTGAATCTGAAATTTTGATAAGTTTTTGATTAGATTTTGATAAGCTAATTAACAATAAACTAAAAACACTCACTTCAGCGGGTACATGCGCAGCGCCTTGTCCATGCCGGGGCCGTAGGAGAGGAAGGCGGCGAGCAGCGTCTCGAAGAGCAGGCCAAAGTTGAGGGCGTGGTTGCTGGGGAAAGAAAAAATTTTTAAAAAATCAGTAAACTATAATTAAAAAACGTTCCAAAACACTCACTTCATTCCCTGGTGAACCAGCGAGTTTCGTCGCGTCTTGCAGATGATCAGATCGGCCCACTGGACGACGACAATCTAAACAACAACAATAAAAACATAAATTAGCCTTAAAAACATTTTCCAATAATAATAAAACTCCTTACGGTGACAAAGAAGGCCGTGTGGCAGGTGTACTCGAGGATCTTCCGGTTATTGTACGTCCACTCCTGCCCGTAGGTGTCCTGCAGGTCGTTGTAGCCCTTGGAGTCCCACTTCTCGCGAATGCCGGGCAAATCACGGGGCCAGAAGCCGTTCTCCGCCATGATGACGAAATAGGTGAAAAAACCGGCGCTCGCCTGCATCATGCCGATCTGGCCGTAGGACATTGAGATGAGGCGCTCATTGACCAGCTTGTCCTTCTGGGCGTCTCGGGGCTTTCGTCGCATGATGTCTGATTCGGCCTTCTCGTAGGCGAGGGAGATGGCGGGCACCATGTCGGTGCCGAGGTCGATGCAGACTGAAAAAATGATGGGAAAAGTTAGTCAAAATTGTCATTTTTCTTAAGCAAAACTTACGAATAGTGACAGTTCCAAGGGGCAGCGGAATGCCTACCAGAATGAAGAGGAGGAAGGGCGAAATCTCCGGAATGTTACTGGTCAGCGTGTAGGCAATGGACTTCTTCAAATTGTCGAAGATGAGACGGCCCTCCTCGACGCCGGTGACGATGGAGGCGAAGTTGTCATCGAGGA